TGCTCTTGTTTTTAGAGCAAACTTTTTCTACCAAGATGAAACCATTCTTTTGGCACTGCACGGCACTGCAGTTATGCCTATTGGGTGGTTTTAAGCTCCATAGTCATCCAGCAGAGATGTTCAAAGGAGGCTAACGAAGTTAACAACCCAAGTTTCGTTGACATTCAGCAGGTGTGTCATGAAGCGGACTTGGTTTGTGGTGTTCATTTCAATGGACTAAATGATCCCAGAGAGCCTAGGGCAGGGGCGAGCGACTCTTTGGGGGTGGGGACTGTTTTGACAGAGCCTACCTCTGAGCACGGGCCACTTCCAGCACAGCCCACACTGCCACAGCCACAGACACCTTTCTTTGTACAGGTTTCCCTCGATTTATGCGGGCTCTCTATATGCGAATTCGCTCTTATGCAATGAGCATATTTAGACCCATCATTCATTATATGCATGGTAAATTCACCTTATGCGATCAGCATAGATGCTCCCTGTGTGGGGAGGGGAACGAGCTGTGGCCCCACTCTCCCCAGCCCCAGCTGCAGCGTCCCTGGCAGTGGCCAGCACCAGCTGCCCAGAGCAATTGGGCTGCACCATGCTCTACCTGTCCCCCTGTGCCTGGGCTCCACCTGTCCCCACTCACCTCTGCTCCTGGGCTGTGCCATGCCCTGGTGCAGGCAGCTTGTGTTGGCTGTCCCCGGGGCTGCTCCAGCATGGGTCAGGGTGAATGCTGCACCCTGCACCGCCTGGCATGGGAGGACAGGAGGAGCACGGTGCAGCCCAGTGGCTGCAGGCAGCTGTCATCAGCCACTCCTGGGACTGCTACAGCCAGGGCTGAGGGGGAGTGCCACTCTGTTCCCTCTGCTTTGCTGCCTTGTGCAGCCCCGGGAGCAGTACCCCTCCCCCTGCCCCTTCCCTAGTCCCAGCCTCACACCCTCTCTCCCTCCCTCCCTGCTGTGGGAAGCTATCCCTATTTATTACATTGTAAAGTGGGTTTGCTTTATGTGAATTTGATGTATGCACCATTCTCCAGGAACACACGTACCGCATAAATCGAGGAAAGCCTGTACTCCTGCTGCTTCTCCCCTCTACCTGGTCACTACGTGAGAGAAGGTCCCTGTTGCCAAAGTCCCCCCGCTCCTCCCTCCCCTACCTCCTGCTGCCAAAACACTGTAGAATAGAAGCTCCCCAGCTCTGCAAACTGAATAACTTTGTGGGACGAATCTGGATCCCGAGCCATAAGCTGCCAGACCCTGATAAAGAGTTTAAATCATCCTGACAATGTACAGCATTTGCCGCATTAGCAAAGCTCAGCATTTCTGGTACAGAAACTTTGGCTTGCTTAGCTCCAAGGAAAACAACCTTTTATTAAAAGATCAAGAGAAGGAAGATGATCTCGTGAGGTCCCTTCGAGCCTCAAATGTCTATGAAATCTATGAAGATCTAGATTAAAGGATCTAAAAGAAAAAATCATTACATGGAAAGTAAGGAAGGAAGGCTTTCAATTGAATGACATCCTTTACTCTCCTCCTTTTCCGCTGAAGAAAGTTTTTTTTAAGGAGAAGCATACGGATTATGTTTTAGAGGGTAATAAAGATAATACAATGATTCCTTTTGAGGAAAAGGGGAGAAAGACTTGCTGCAACTTAGCTGCAGCTGTCTGTTGTTGTTGGTGAGAGATTGTTTTGTGGTGGGTAGGGAGGAGGGGTGCCCCATCGTGTTAATTTGAAGACAAAATAAGACAAATGTATGGAAGCATCATGGGGAGAGAGCAAAAACAATACAAAATGCAGCTTCTTTACAATCCCTGCTAGCAAACATGCAGCCTTCCAGTCACTTCAAGGCCTGGCTAACTTGTACCATTGGTGACCTTGCCTTTAGCTGTCTCTGGTCACAGGCTCATAACAAGGTTTTTCAAAAGCTTGCCAAGGCAAGTCAGCCAGATACTTTAAAAATAAAAAAGAAGTTGGAATACGAGATAAGAAAAGAAGAAATGAAGTGGAGGGGTGTGACAGCAGGAACCCCCGTTTCATATTATAGATGGTGGTCAGGATTGAGCAAGAGCCAGTAGGGCAGTGCCTCTTTGGCTTGGTCTTATCAGGAGATCTTTGAGAAGCAGGACCCAACAGTGCCATGGTGGCTCTCAGGGTCTGGGGGACAGCAAGGATGACAGCCATGCTGGCCAAGCTTGCTCCTTCCCATCTGCCTGTCCTCTAGGCCTCCAAAAGTCATGATGGTCAAAACAACCATCCTCATTCATTTCTTCACCAATTAGATCTAATTCTCAACACACTAACTTTGATCCATTGATTTCTAGTCCTGAGCTTCTTTTGGTTACCAGATATAACAGTGCTTAGATGAGGTCAGTAGGCTCTGCATTTCCAGTACAGAGCCCTTGGCTTGCTTGACTTCAGGGGAAACAACCTTTTATTAAAAAATCTAAAGGAAGACAATTCAGATGTAGATGAAAAGATCTAGAAGAAAAAATCATAGCTTTTATTACTCTAATGTAAGTGTTTCTGTCTTCAACTGACTTTTTATTCAATTTTTTGGTAGCGCACCAAAAGAAACTTCTATAACGGGGAACAATTTGGAATACAAGCCTCTGTACCACAAGCTGTGTTGCAAACTGCATCCCCATATGTCAGCAGTTAAATTTGCTTTTCAGAACTTTGTGCAAGATCCTTATTTACTATTTCTTTACACTCCAAAACGAGTCTAATCAGTGCAACTAAAATTCCTGATTCAGCAGCACTATCAACAACAACAACAACAAAAAATTAAAAAGTTCACCTGACCTCTGTCTTGCCCTTCTTAAAATAACTACTGTTCTTTGATAATAGTCTCTAGCTACAAATCCACTGGAAATAAATACATTCTTGATTAATTCCAGACAGAAAAAAAAAATCAATGCGATGTACTCAGAACTCAGCATTAAAGTTCATCTTAATCAGATTTACATGAGATCACCTTTCATATCTAGCACAACAATATTTTACATTGTAATCCCCAATGACAGGAGTGGACCAAGAACTCAGACAACTGAACCAGACTGAAATCTCATTCTTATGAGATTATTTTTGCCGTTCTCATGGATTTGTCTAGGGAATGTCTGGAGAAGACTCATTTCTCAAGTATTGCACCCAATGGATTAGGGAAATTTTCATACTGGATACAGAACTATGCAGTAAGCACATCATAATGCTTTAGAACTGGCTACATGAAGTCAGGAAACGACGTAATAATGACCAGCTATTCGAAGTTCATGAGAACCTGAAGCTTTTGTTAACTTCAGTGGGATTTGTAGGAGCACTGGTTTTCTAGCGATCAGACTACTTTTTTTTCAATTCAGTGTCCAAAATATGAATGGAAGAGATTAAGGTCAGGCACACAAGTTTACAAAAGTATGGCTTGGCATTTCCTTTTGTAATATTGATATGACAATAGATAAGAGAGTTAACTGTGTGGATTTACTATAATGTGTACCTGAGCAGTAAGCACATAAAGAGGCATTAAAAAAATAAATGGAATCAGCTCTCCATGACACTGGCTTAGAAGATACTAAAAAATGATTTGTGTCTAGCACGTAAACCATTTTAATACCAGTTAAGGTGGCCTTTGATTATCAATTGTGGCAGGAAACAAAAAGGTGCATAAACCCCTGATGCAATCATTAGGGAAGAAGAAACCTTCATCATTGGAATTCACATATTAAACCAATTCATTAAAATGCATTGTTTAGGGTTTTTTTCCTGGGATAGGGCAGCTCTTTTCTCATTTATTTTTCAGCAAATGGTAATTTTCCAAGCCCTGATTCCTTCCAGGGATCTTGCTCCTACCACAGCTGTAATCCTGCTTCTTCCTTTGTACTTTTCTTTCTCTCCCAATTATTTCCTGATGTGGGAGAATCTTTCCCTGATTCATGACATTAATATGGCCAGTGTTTTAGGATGAAGCTGACTGCAGCCCATGGTGGGCTTCTCTTCAATGGGAAGGTACGACTGAAGCACAGGGAAGCAGAGCCTACAGCAATGAAGACCCAACAGGAAATCCAGACATCACATCTTAACTTCTCCATGGGCTGGCTACATAGTGCTAGCCTGCCTGCTACTCTACAGTCTTTATTTTAATTGCAATGACTTCATCTCAGGTCATATCATTAACCCATTCTTGTGTTGGCCCAATGCAGAACCAATGTCTGAATTCTGCTGGGAGCAATGGCGCAGTGTCCTGGTATGAAGATGGGACATGAGTAAAGATGAAATAAAGGTATTAAGCAGCTGAGAACTGGCCTTTTAAACCTTGATCTTTAACAGAAAACAGAGGCAAAAAACATAACAGAATGTTAAAAAAAATCAATCTGAAAACACAGAGAAGCAAAGAAAAAGAGGACCTATATTTCAACCACTGGTTTTGTAGCTAATAGACTCAATGGAAATCTGTCTCACGTCTTGCATGGTCTAATTTAATTTGTATATACCCCTTTTCTTTTGAGGAACCTGGACATTTGTTGTTATTTCTCTGTTATTCTGGTAACTTTATCGTCTTAAACCATCAAGGCATAAAGTTTCCCAAGTCCTTAGAAAGTTAATAGGACAGTGAAAATCAAAGGTCAATACTATAGTTCCTGCAGGTCCCCTCCTGTGACTTTAATTGCGTAGTCTATAAAAAGTTTCTCAATGCTACCACTCTTAACATTTAGCACTTCCTGGTGTGTTCAGTAGACTTGTGTCTCATCTATGGAAGTGCGAAGGGAAAACCTGCAGCAATGAAGAAGACAGAATATGCAACACATTGGTACAAATTGGTTGCCACCTTCTATGCCACATCCATAGTTGGCTATAGATAGGCTGAGCGAGAATGATAAAGGAGTGCAGGAAATACATACAAGTATCCTGGAACCAGTCTTCATTAATACCCACCACTAGGGATGAATACATTTTAGCAACAGATTTGACACAAAATTTAACTGTTTTGGAGACTTGTCATTGGTTTCATTTTTTTCCCTCTTTGTGTTTTCTCAGTGGGTTTACAAATGGCTAACTAAGTAAAGGAAGCCTGAGTTATGGACTAGAGCAAGAAGAAGCCTGCTAAAGTAAGACAAGTGCAAATGGTGTCCTTTATATACTGAAACAACTTACTCTAGCAACAGTTTTGATATACTATATTAAATCAAATCACACTGCGTATATATGGGGCCACACATGCAAAGCTAATAAAGTTCAGCACTCTCTTAGTGCTACAGTTTGCACAAGTCCCAGTGTGGTGGGTTAGCACAACTTAGGCACTGTTTTAATTTATATCAGCAACTCAACAACCCAGCTGTAATCACAGTAGGATGTAGAAGTATCATGTCCATGGCGTCTCTGCGTAGTCCATATTCCCTTCATCATTGCAGTCCTAGGTGGAAAGCAAAGCATGTGGTTACAAGTCCTCTGCACCAGACTGATACCATCATAGGATTACTTTTTGTGCAGTGATGCTCCTCCCGGGATTGCTTAAGACAATGCTTATGTCAGAGGACAGTGGTACAGAACCACCCCAGAAGACCCGTTTCTCTAGTCTTACTTGCTGCATTCAAATGTTTCCACAGCTTTTACTCCTTTCTCAGTCTCTCCCCAGCAGAATGGAAAATCAAAAAACTTTCATGTGCGAGTCAAACATTTGAGTCCATAAACTTCAAGTGAGTCATAAATGAGGCTACACTGTCCCAAAAAATATACCCGAATGCTTTGCAACTCCCCAAGAGAAGACTCTGACATGAACATAAAAGAGAAACCCAAACTTACAGACACCCAATCGCTTCCAAATTGCAGATGATATTGCTGCCTTTGCTAAAACTCCCTAAAGGTCTTTGAAAAATAAATTAGGGAACTTGATGAAAGAATAAACGGGAGACCAAAGTCATGCTTATTAACTGATTTGCTAGTTTTCTGTTTCTCATGTCCCGTGGACTTCAGGATGCCTCTTGGGTGTAACCTTGTATAAGACTGTTCAGCTGCATGGCAGTTGATTTGTACCATATGTCCCTGATATACTCAAATACAGACGGTCAAAGAGTTGGCTAGAACAGAGGAGAATGAAAGAGTGCAACAGAAAGAAAATAATTAGAAGTTATGGACCATATCCACCTCCTTCCCTTGAAATCAGTGGACAGATGGTCAGTGATTTCACTGGGCCTTGGATTGGCCCTCTTAAAGGATAACTTATTGGGCCAACTCATGAATGTTGTTCCAACCAGGAAGCTGGGTGGGTCAGTTGGACTCATGGACAACAAGAATTGTGTCTGCTTGGAAAAGAGAGCAGTTCTTACATCTGCCTTGACATATGGAACAGGACATGCCAACCCGACAGGGAAGAAAAAAAAATGCCCTTGGTTTGGGTATTATACTTTCTGAGACATCTGTTGTGTTCTTAAGATACAGAGTGCCGTGACCAAGCTAACATTTATGTTGAAGAATTAACTATAAACCACCAGGTCCTACTGAACCCAAGAGAATTGTGCCTTGTTTGTATTGTACTCTGCTTCAGAGTGGGCTGGTCAATGGGTAACCATTGACCTGAACATTTTCCATACAGCTCTTCATTTGTATACTATAAGCAATATGAATAGAAGACCTAGACCTGGGATGGGTGGGAAGCAGATTTCCCACTCTATGAAAGTTTATGAGATTTTAAATATATGTATTTACTATCCTAGATCACAATCACAAAACCACGAGTGCATTTTTCAAACTAAAAATGCAAAAAAGTCAGAGCAGACTAATCAAGATTGAAAATAATCTTAACATGTTTTCTTTTTACTCATTATTCACTGAAATTTTGAAAATGAAAATGTAATTTTGGAGGTGACAAATTGAAGGTTTGCATTTAGACATGGGATATTATAATAATTTCCAACCTTTCCACCTTCCCCCCCTGCAATTTTTTTTAAGACAGGAAATTCATTGACACCAGTCACTGTTTTGACAAAACGTTTCGTGGGCCTTTCATACTAATCCTAATGATATTTATGATAATGTCATTGAAAGTTACAGCTCCACCGAAGCCAAAAGAAATGATACCAATTCACATCAGCTAATGATCTGGCATATGATATCACCCATTCAGAGACAGACAATTCACCTTTTCTAGCCCATGGAAAGCAACGGTCCAGAGAAGAACAAAAAAGACAAAAAAAGAGGAGAGCGCATTATTATGAACTACATGAGCACCAACAGATCAGGAAACTAATGACTGCGACAGCAATAAAATATAAATTGGTAATGCACGTGCACACAGCCAGATGCTGCTCACTTTGGAAATCTGGTCCTTTCTGTCATGCTTTGGAAGCAAGTCGATGTGTATGTTTTCTTGACTTAACTATGGGCCTGTCCTTAAATCACCCAGCGAAGATGCTGCTCTATGCAGAAGCCGGTGCGTAACCCTCTAGAACAGGCATAGAGCAGCATCTTCGCCACTGAGAAATGGTAACAGATGTGCAACAACTGGATAGCTCACATAGCTGCAAGAGCTGACGCGCATCACAACTTCTCAAACATTTCTGACGGTAACATGGTTGAGGAAAAGGCACAAAAGGAGTGTAAAAGGCTAGCTGGACCTAGGGTTGTGCTCTGCTAATCTGGCACATTTTTTGGGTTTCTTATGGCACAGGACATGCGTTGCTCGGTATTTCATTGCCAGCACTACAAGCTACAAGACGCAGGGAGTTTTGGCTGTGAATGGCAGGGGAGGATGAAATTTTATGTGGTGGCTATCCATTGGAGATTGGCAGTTTCTGCTTTGGAGAATGAGGTTAGGAAAATGCATTGCCTTACGCAGGTTAAACAAAAATAATCTGGTGAGCTTTTCCGTGAAACGGCTCTACTGGCCTCAGTGCGTTTGCAAAGACAGTGGCGTTTTTGGGGGTTTTTTTATCATGGTAGCGGCTTTTGTCATCTCTACAAAAACCTGCCCAAATCAGACAAACCATAAGCAGGAATCCTGGTTTTCTCTGTTCAACAATTGCAAATGCTCCGATTTAAAAAAACCCAACAAATCCAAGTTTATGATAATCTAATAAAAGATCCCATCATAATGCATATGCATCGTAGGGCCCAGTTCAAGTTAGGGCAAGCTTAAACTTGGTGTTTCATTAGCAGAGAGGGCTTAATTTTGCAATGTTGATAATGTTCTTCTGATGTAGTGTCTGTCTGTCTGCCTAACTGCTTTCCGAAATGATTCTTCAGCAAGACTGGAAGTTTTAGATCAACTGGCCAGACCTCTGCCGCTTGAGCCGATGCAGCTAATTCACTGCAGTATATAGTGATCATTAGGTTTAATAAACAAAGACATACATTAATTAGAAGAACTAAATGGCAAACTTTAATTGGAAGCAGCAGTGCAGAGTTGTGCCCCTTGCTGCTACCAGGTGGCGCCTCACCAGGGTGGTACGGGGCTCATGGCGGCAGCACCAAGCTTCCCTGCCCTGCTCTGCCCTGCCATGTTGGGTACCCATGCTGGGCCATGGAGGTCTCAGGGGGAGGGCAGCATGGCAGGTTGCCCTAGTCTGCAGCTGGCCACCCACATCTGCCCCCAGCATGGGCTCCACTCCAAGTGCACCCTCTTTGCTAACGAAATGCCAAGTTTAAGCTTGTCCTAACTTTAACTGGGCCCTACGATGCATATGCATTATGATGGGATCTTTTATTATATTAGCATAAGCTGTTTTTTTTCTACAAGACCCCTGCACCATTCAGTGCACAGGAGGGACCTGCTCTGGGGACCTGCCACAGAGTTCATAGACTCAAGGAAGCATAGGACTGGAAGAGACCTCTGGGTCACCTGATCCAACCCCTGAAC